AGAGGATCAGGAGTTCAAGGCTATCCTTGGCTACATAGCAAGTTAGAGGCCAGCCAAGGATACATAATCCACCCCTTCCCTGAATACTTTCAAAACTCCAGGAAAATATTTAGCCCAATTGCTGGGCTAACCATATTGTCTGGTGTCATCCTCATACCTTCAAATTGGGCCCTGTGGATTCTTACCATGTCATCATCAAGGCTTAGAGTACTTACCAAGGCATATAAAGACCACTGACTGAGAGTTGATTCTGTGGAATCTGCACCCTGGCTCAATTTTGAGGTTCTTGCATCTGCATGCTTCCACATGTTTGCCAGGAAATTCTTTTGAATTCGCTTTACATACTGCAATTTTGATTTCCTCACCAACTCAAGATTATGGTGTGTAGTTCTTTGGGTTCAGAGGAGTCAGGGCTAAATTACTGCCTTTATGTTCAATATCTAAAACTAAATGTGTCAATCTTTCAAACATAAACACAATTTTACTTTAAGTGTGAACTTACTTTTAGTATTAATTTTGTCTCAAGCACAGCTATTTTACTTTGGTCCTTTTAATACTGGAAGCAGACTTCATACAAACAAACTTTATCTTAGCTCTCTACAGGCAAACAAACATGGCTCTTGAACAATGTTTGTTGAATTAGTCCAAGTGAAAATGTAGAGCAAAACTTTGACAAGCTGTTGGATCAGTAATTTTAGTTTACTATTTATAAATTTTCAGATACTTTAAAATCCATAGTGGCACATTTTAAATCTTTCAGAGAGATTATCAAAGACTCAATTAAAAAAAACAGCTTTTAACAGTGAAAACTGTAACAAATCCAAACTCTTGCTGTAATTTTTCAGGAAACTTAAAAGCATAATGTCGTCTTCCTTTTGATTCACCCATGAATTACTTTCTCTTAAATTGTCTTCTAACTTTCTAGACCATAATCTATTCTTGGTTGGGATGCTGAAAACATCAGAGGGCTAAATTCCCAAGGGACCACCATCAATGACACTAAACTCATTTTTGGCTTCCATACCTTTAAGCAGCATCAAGCCATTTCCCATGTCTAGCATTAACACCCCTTTCAGCCCTCCTAGGATCCCACTAGTTTAAGAACTACATTTGATCCTGGAGGAAGCTAAGGCATAACACTTATTTACCTAGAGTTCCAGTACTTGCAGGACATGAAGCCTGCCATGATAATCCCATTCCAGGCCCTTCTCTCTTGCTACTTCCCCCTACTGATAGACAACTGGTTACAAGGCAATTCAGGCCACAAGGTACTGGGAATCCTACCCTCCTTGCAGGTTGTGTTACCACTCCCCTCCTACCTTGTGGACTGTAAAGAACATCACGGCCCTGCCCTTGTTCCCCCTTGCTCCCTGAACAGCTTTTCTCGTTGCCACTCATGAAACACTTTCACAATGAGAAAGAACAGGAGCTTTAGAGCTTTATCATCACCTCCCTAGACTTGGGGGTCAAGATTCTGAACTCTGAATTTGAATGCAACCTTAAAAGAGTCTATTGCAGGGAAACTGGTTATGGCTTTGATTTGAAGCACCACCAACTAAAGAACTTATGGAACCTAGACTCCCAAGACAGCATATAACATAAATCTTGGGATTTCCAGTTTAAGTTCACAAAAAGCCAAAATGTACCAAATTTTAAATTATTTTTTCTGACTCACAGACATACATAAAATCTCATTTAAAAAACTTTCAATATCATTAGAAAAGCCAGACACTATGTACTCTAAAATTTATTTACAGTTAATAAGTTAAAAAGCAACTTACAACCAAATTGTAAATCTCATTCATATGCACATTAAACTGTCCAGGGAAACACTTCAGTTCCATTAAAAACAATTGCTTTCTAATGCACTTAAGACATAACAGTTTATCAAAAAATATTTGAACACACCAATAAAGTAAAGGTCAGGTATATATGTCCATTAAAAATCACCAATTTAAAGAATGTTGTAGCAATCCTTTGAATAACAAAAACCTTTGAGTTCGAAATTGTGATGTTTTTGTATTCAAATATTTATAAAGACATTAAGTTTTCTGAAAAATAGTACACAAATAGTGTGCACATGACAAATCAATAGGTATGAGCCACCAGCTTAAGTTACACTTGTCCAATAAGAGTACTCAGACAGACAAAATAAATACACACCACAACACTGCACTATCAACAATGAAGGTTGCCCTCAACTATCATGATGTTATTGGCTCAGGCAAGTAAAAATAAGTTGCTGGTTGATAGAAGAAGGACGGTGATGACATCAGGAATCTAAAAGGATTATCTGAGGTGCCGATCACATGTAGGCACACAAACATCAAAAATGAAATAAAAGCATAGCAAGGTAATTAATGTACTTCCTCCTAGCTGCCCTCCCTGCTGTGCCATCAGAGACAGAGAAGGCAAGAGAACAAAGAATCATGGGACATATCTAAAAAAAAAAAAACTGTACACAAACTAAGCTACAGACTCACTTTAGAGGACAATATTAGATGCTTCACCTTAAAGGCCACAATGCCAAGCTTCTTTCCACATCCCGTCCATAGGAACCCATGAAATACTGTCATTTTCTTATGAATATACTCATCAGCTATCTTAGGTGGTTCTTCACATTTTCAAAGTTGCAACATGGGTTTTGCTACAGAAAACCTGGCAAAATTTTTTTTCTTTTTTACATCTTACTTCACATATCAGAAATGTCACAACTTTTAAATAGCTCAGTTGAACCACTATCAAACTCAGGATGGGCAACCAAATCTAAACTGTAATCAGTCAGCTCAAATAAGCCAAAGGAGCGTTATGCATAAGTTCAACTGCACCAAAGCAACAAGGCATTAGAGAAACAAGCATCGAGAATCTCAGTTAAAAGAAAGAAACACACGGTATCACTGGTTATGTTTCAGTTGTGTGCTGAGAAGTTCTCTCAGTGAAGTCTAGCCTTGGAATCCTCTGGGAAAACACCCAGATACGCTACATGTTGAAATTACATTCTAATATGGCCATTGGGTTTATTTTTTAATTATTACAAAACTATATACAAGTGAAATGGTACAAATGCATTTTCATCAGGTGCTAGTTAGCTATAAAAGTTAACAATATATTTTTGGGAAGAAAATCCTACTTATCTGAAATACATTTGGCAATGGAAGCTAATAACCAAAAGACTGTCTCAGCTTCCCAGGACACAACAATAGCACTCTCCCTCTCAGAATTATTCACTTTTTATTTACTCAAATAACATTTGTAACAGCGTGTTATTATTGAGTAGCGAATAAGACTATGAGGCTTATCGGGAAACTGGCATAAAGTCATATATGTATGTATATATATAATTTTTTTTACAAAACAAGAACACTAAAATTAAAGTCACAACACACTTTCATGAACTATTAAACCTAAAATAATCATTTCAGAAAGCTATGCCATTTGAACCCTAGGAACACAAGCGTCAGAACGGCAACTCTCACTATTCTAAAAAGCTGCCAGGCCGAGTTAACCTTAGCACTGAGGGTTTAACGTGTCAAGTTCCAGCCCAGTATGGATGTCCCATGGCAGAATACTTAAATCTGAAATCGCTGTAGGAAAACACTACTTGACCCTTTAGGTATTGCAGAAACAGCAGGCTGTTGGCACCACTGGCTAAAAAACATTAAGTCTTGCTGCCATCAACGACCAAAGGCACTTGGATAATCACGAATTCCACACTGGGCCATATGGTATACACACTATTATAAAAGTGTAAAAGAAGGGTCAGTACTCTGTGTGACTCGCCTATTTGATTCCTGTGGCCTTCAGCTGTCAAACAATGACTGCAAACAATTACGAATGGAAAGAAGATAAAGAAAATTCGTAGGACAAAAAAGTCAACCAATTGTCATGATTTTTATAAAGGCAATGAATAGTCATCGGGGCATTTCTTGTTATCCAACAACAAAACCAAAGAAACAAAGATATCTATTTTGCCCCAAACAACTTCAACCAGTTATTTGATACCAAGAAATGCCCCCGCCCCTCCCTATAGGTCATTCATAGCTCTGGGAATTCTAATGGGTATTCTGTTTATCACTTTATTCACAATGTCTACACACATCGACCTCTTCTTGGCAACTTCCATTTTAAAGTAAGTTCTCTTCCCATTAACGTTCCTGGATTGTATGTTAGCCCAGAACATGAGGCCAAATCACCTCCAATTGGATTCCAGTCATTCTTGTAGCCAACACGCTCTTCACAATTTATTCACTTTTTATCGCAAGCCACGTGGTTCCAATACACTTCAATTTTATTCAATTCAAAAGAATTTAACAAGTCAACTTTTCCTAAACAAAAATTTTATACCACTTTCTTTAGGCGCTCAGTAAATATAAATATTAAGCTTCAATATAAAACCTTTATATAAACACCTTAAATTTTTTTTTAAATAGTTGTACTTTGCATCTCTGTAACGACTGAGCTCATGAAATTCAAAGCCATACAAATCCTTGCACTACTAACAGTCATAAGCTTGAACCTCTTAAAAAATATCCTTGGTCAAAGCTTTGGAATCCAGTAAAAATTAGAAAACGAGTGGGCTGCAGAATACCCTGAGCGCACATCAGTACAACACCAAGAAACACAGCTGATCTTCCGTTCAGAAAGAGGGGCTGGCAGTCAAAAACAAAACAGGAGAGAGGGAATAAAGAGCAAGTAAAATTCTGGCTTTATTACACAAGCACGAAAGCAAATTCCTTTGGGGGTGAAAAAAAATGACTTCGGAGGACTTCCAGACCAGTGAGGTAGAGTCCGAAAGGGAGGAAACGCATCTGTCCCGACAGTCTCCGAGATGTCTCCGTCCTGGGCCGGACAGCAAACGGACCTCCCCCGCGGGTCCAGCTGTCCCGGGTCGCAGTGACCACGCCGGGAGGCCGCACCTGTCTCGGGGTCCCGGACCGCGGTGCCGCATCCCAGGGACGCCGGCGAGGGCCCCGCAGGCAAGCGTCCCGCATCCCGGGACCTGTCCGCCCGTAAAGTGCACCAGGGGGCTGGTTCTGTAAACACTCGACTGACACTTGTTCATCCCGCCGCCGAAGCTCGCCCAGGGGTGGGGGTGGGGTGGGAGGGTGTCGCGGCCGACAGGAGGCGCCGTGCGCCGGCGCGTCACGCCCGCGGCACCGGGAAGCGGCGGAGCCTCACCACGGGGTCCAGGTCCACTCGCAGCACTTGGCGCGCCTTGCGCCGGGCCGCCGCCAGGCTGCGCTCGCCCCACACGTCGTCGCCAACGCGGATGGTCGGGAAGCTGGTCAGCGTCGGGGTGGCCGCCCTCCAGATCTCCTCCAGGGTGCGGCCCCCAAAGCAGGGCGCGGCCGGCCGAGGCTCCTCGGGGACCGGAGTGGCTGGCCTCCTGCGGCCCGGAGCGGGCTGGGCTCGGCGGCGCCGCCTCCTGGACGCTGCCCGCGAGCCGGGCCGGCGCAGGGGGCGGCCGGCTGGCGCCGGGGGGTCGGGCACCAGCGCGCGGCACGAGGAGTAGCCATAGACGTCCTTGCTGCGCAGGATGTGCGGGGAGAACTGGTGCTTCAGGCTGCAGAGGAAGTTCCAGAGCTCCGCGTCCGAGCTCATGAACTCCGTACTGCTGGGCATGAACAGCTTGAAGGCGTCGCTCAGCGCCTTGGTGCTGTCGGCTAGCGACAGTTGAGATCGCGAGTACACCACCTTCTCCTCTCGCGCCTCCAGCCCGGCCCCTCCTTCCGTCGGACAGCCGCCGCCCCAGGCGGCCCGGGGCCGGCGCCGCCGCCTCTTCACGCCGCGCCGCATCGGAAGCCGTTCAGGGCCGAGCGCGCTCGCCCGCGCCCGCCGCCCTCCCGTCGTCCCTCGGCCGCCGCTGGCGCCTCCCGCTCCGCTCCGCTCGCGACTTTTCTCGCTTGGCCGCCCCTCCCCCTCCGGGCGGAGGACGCGCTGGAGCTCCAGCCGCCCGGCTCAAGATGGCGGCCGGCGCCCACCCCGGGGCTTTGTCATTGGACGGCGCCGCGCCCCCTCCTCCCGGCTTCTCTTTCTTCTCCTCTCTTGGCCTCCTTTCGCCCTCTGCCTTTCTTGAGATGGGCCCGCCTCAGTCACCGCCCACCTCGGGCCCGGCTCCACCCATTGGGTGCTCTCGGAAAGAGGGGCGGGGACTAGTGGGGGAGAGCCAGTTCCTGGAAGATGGTGCTGGGGTGGATGGTGGTGATGGCCTTTGGACGCTGGTCAACAGTTGGGTGCGTCCATTGAGGGTAGACATGCGTGGAGTGGGAAGTGGATGTCAGCCCGGTCTTTGGGGGTGAAGTGGGTGTGCAACTGGAGTTGGAGCTCAGAGGTCCACCAGTCTGAGTAACAAAAGGAAGTAGCCTGAAGAAACTTGATCTTAGCACAGCCAAGAGGTTTGGGTCCGAGACTAGTAGGGATGGACAGTTCGTGCGTACCTTCGCAGTGCTCCAGGCTTCTTTGACTCCTTGCAGCTCTTGACCTCAAGCCATCTCAAGAAAACAGTAAACATTCGGGCAATATGACAGCCCTCTGGACAATGGAGACACTCTGGTCATTGGGGAAGCAAAGGCTTTCACACCGTATGAAACTAAACACCGTTAAGTGGGCAAAGTGCAGTGGCAACAAAGCCCTTCTGCTTAAAGGAGATAATTTAGATACACAGTTCTATCAGGATGCTGTTTCATATTTCACTAGGTATTAAAATGCCCCTTTGCAGTGCAATCTCTGTCCCTAAGAATGTAGGATTCCATATAATCAATAAGATTTTGTTGAGAATCATCCTTAAGAATGCATTGCCTTTTGTAATTGAGAGGAGGGGTAGACACTCTTGTCAGTTTTTCTATCCTCCATACTGAGCTCTCTTCCTGTTCACAGACACTGAATGATTACAGAATGAACCACTGACTATTTGAAATGGAGTGAGAAAGAAATATTTAAATTGCTTAAAACAGGATAATTTTATGTTATATTTATATTGCAGTTTTCTCCAAAATCCTTTAAACTTTTTTTCTCACTTTGGGGATCAAAGTCAGAACCTTTCACATCCTAAGAAAGCACTTGACTACTGAACTAGCCCCCCGACACACACCACTAGATTTCTTTAAATTTTTTAAAGTTTTTTTACTCTCCTAATACTTAGAGGAAGGCATGCATATTTCACTCTTCAGTAAACATTGTGCAGTAGAAATAGAGTACAGAATTTCTCTGATCTACATTCAGTTGATGGTTCCTTTAGAATTCTTTGAGCTGAAAGACTAGTTCAGTGTCCTTATTTCACAGATGAAATTTAGACCTACAGGGGTTCATTAATATAGCTTGCTGATAGCAGCTTGGAACTCTAGGTCTTTGGATTCTTAATCTAGTGATCTTTATATTTCACTGGAGGTTTCACAAATTGTGCTGTTGTAACTTAATAGAAAATGCCGGATACATTTTCAGTGGGGCAACTAGAGACAGAGCTGTACCCCACTCTACCAGTTTTAAATTGTCCTATGATGGATGAGGATATTTTATTTGACCCAGATAACATTTGGTCTGGTTTCAATAAAAACTAAAAAATAATTTGAAAATTTCTTACCTACACCAAAGCACACTCTCCACACAACAGGTTTATGGCAAAAATAAAATTTCTGACCATGAATCAGTTCTCTATGTACCAAAATAATAACTTTCTAAAGAGCAAATCATTTTCTTAGAAAAGCATACTCTTCTCAGAGAACAAGATTATAGAGCCAGTTCCCAGCTTCCTAGCTCCCTGTAAAGGAATTACGTTGCAACAGCTGTGTATCATAACTGGTTCTCTTGGTAATTCTGAGAACACATAATAATGTGAGGTTTGAATGACTTCTATTGGACTGCCCTTGTACATGGACACACAAAATCTCACAGACTAAGTCAGTGGAAAGCCAGATGTTGGGGGCTGGGGACTTTGTAATGCAAGAAAAGTATAAACTAGTCCAAGCTTTAAACATTATTATTTTTACCTCTGCATTTAATTGTGTCGTCCATGTTAATGATAAATTCCTCCAGTCTTACCACATAAATATGTAATTGACTTTAAGAAAATAAATGGTTTTCTTTTCATCAAAACTTCAAAAATTCTAAGGAGACATAAGATCTTAATTAGTTATGCATTATAGAATTTGTTTTGTAAGGCAGTACACTATTTCTTATGAAATTCAGGAACCAATATTGTGTTAAACTGCTTAAATCTTACATTTTTAATTTTGTCTGTTTGCTCTCTTGCCTTTATTTTCTACATTCTTGACCTCTACTTTTTGATAGTTCAAATAGTCTTTATACAAATGGCTCCTTATCCAGTCTTTTTCAAGCGAATAAATTTTACATACAAGGGAAATAATAATTCTAGTTCCCAAGACCCTACAAGATTTATGGATGGTGGCAAATTAGGTTTCTGTAAGTGAGGAATGATAGTTTGTAGTTGTCAGTTTATTCCTTTACTTCTGAGGGATAACAGCTTCCTGCATCAGATAAACAAATGACAGATAAGAATAAACAAAGTAACTATTTTCTACTTTATGCTGTTAAAAAGGAATCTAAGAGCTGGGTATAGTGGTGCATGCCTTTAATCTCAGCATTTGGAAGGCAGAAGCTGGCAGATCTCTGAGATCAAGGCCAGCCTGGTCTACATATTGAATTCCAGACCAGCTGGGGCTACAGGGAGACCTATCTGGAAAAAAAAAAAAAAAAAAAAAAAAGTCATTGAAGAAATTAACAAAATGTATTTCTTAACTACCTTTCCCCTTGTTTTAATTATCTCATTTCTTCAAAATTGTTTGCTTCTTGAGTGGTGCCCCCCAAATACATATGCAAGTGATTATAAGCATCAGCTCCAGAATCAAATAGACTTGGCATCAAACATATCTTTACAATTAAGAATTCTTGAATAGCAGGGTTAGAGAGATTACTCAGCATTTAGGAGCACTGACTGCTCTTGCAGAAGACCTGGATTCTGTTCCCAGCACCCACATGGCGGCTGACAACAGTCCATAACTCCAGTTCCGGGAGATCCAATGCCCTCTTCTGATCTCCATGGCATTGCAGGATACAAGTGCACTTACATACATGCAGGCAATATACTCACACACATAAAATAAAAACAAATACTGTATTATCACATGTATGTAAGCACACCTGTGTCGTTCAGTGCCAGTGAAGGTCAGAAGAGGTGTTGGATCCCCTGGAACTAGAGCTATGGATGGTTGTTAGCCACCGTGTGGGTGCTGGAATTTGAACCCAGGTCTTCTGCAAGAGCAGCCAGTGCTCTTAACCACTGAGTCCCCTCTCCAGCCCCTAAATATGTTTTTAAAAGGAATTCTCAGATACTAATTTTTATCTTTATCTGTTCTATCTATGAAATGAGATGTAACCTACACTTAATGGATTATTTTGACTGTTCAGATACTATAGTATCTGAAACATAGTATAAGCATTTAATAAACTATAACTGTTCTTGTCTTATTTAATTTTGAGAATTTTACTTAGCTTAACCAACATATTTCAAGCACTGTATTACAGAAAATCTAGACGTTTTGGGGAAATAAAATCTTTAAGGAAACTTAGGGATTCTCCAACAAATCATTCTTTATTCAACTGGAAATACCGAAAAACAAAGAGGTCTGCCCAAAGCTACAGAGTAACACAGTGAGAGACTGAATAGAAGCCTGGTTCTCTACTTGCTGGCCCAAGATTATATCTAACATTTTAAATTTATATTTAATCTAAGGAACTACTATTAATTTTTATTTTCAATGTTTGACAGTATATATAACATGACACATCAAAAAACATTTAGCCATTTATTATACTCATTGTAAAGCAATCTACATTTTTCTACAAAGGTCACAACAAAGCTCAGATAGGCTCCAAAACTGCTTAATGTCAAATACAGAAAAACCATATAATCCAAGAAAATAGAACTTCTGCTTCTAGGAAGATGGAAAACATGTTTTCCTGATTGTTCCTCAAAATTCCAACTAAAAGCTCTAGGCATCATATATTAATACAAAATAAACACAAGACTGAAAACTACAAAGAAGAAAAACTTGGGGCTGCCAGAATCCAAAGAAGGGTACGGCAGTGTGTTTCCTGGGTTTTACCCTCATCCTTTTACCTGAGACTGGATGCTTAAGAGTCCAGCCACTCAGAAATGCCCACAGATCAAACACAAAAAAGCCTCACAAGGGGTCGGAGAAATGGTTCAGCAGTTAATAGCACTGACTGCTGTTGTAGAGGACCTGGGTTTGATCCCCAGTACCCATATGGTGGCTAACAACCATCCTTAATTCCAGTTCCAGGGGATCCAACGCCCTCTTCTACCCTCTGCAGGTATTGCATAACATGAGTGCACTTACATGCAGGTATACATTCAAATAAAAATAAATTTTTTTAAAGCCTCAACAAATTCTTATGTCCTGATTGGCTTTTGTCAACCTGACACAAACTAAAGACACTTGGAATAAGATCTCCATTGAGGAATTTCCCCTATTGGCCTATAGTCATGTCTGTGAGGTAATTTCTTAATTGCTAATTGATGAGGAAGGGCCCAGCCTTCTGTGGGTGGTGCCATCCCTGGGCTGGTAGGCCTGGTCTGTATCAGATAACTGAGCAAGCCAAGGGGAAGCAAGCCAGTAAGCAGCATTCCTCCATGGTCTCTGCTTCAGTTTCTGCCTCCAGTTTTGTGCCTTGGGTTCCAGCCCTGAATTCCTTCAGAGATGGACTGTAACATGGAAGTGTTCATCATATAAGCCCTTTCCTCCCCAGGTTGGTTTTGATCAGTGTTTTATCACAGCAATGAAAAGCAAGCTAGTAGTACATCTTGCTTACTCTGGCCATGGAACCAGGAAATGTAGCGCTAGCCTAGCAAAAGGGAAAACTTTTAACTGAAAAAAACAAACAGGCAAAAAAACACATGAATTTAAAAACTGTGAGTCCTAACCTTTGCCAGGCTATTAAAAAGGTACCCCAACACCTCTGCTGGAGTGACATTACAAAAGACTAGATAGGAATCAGGACTTTCATTCCTGCTGGGCCATAAAGAAGCAACCTCCACTCAGTGGGAATGGAGACATGTGGAGAGCAAAACCAAGACACCCCTACCCCTTGAAGCCCTAGTGGGAAGCCAGAATTCCTCTGCCATCCCCTCACCACCACCTGGATGTCCCTGGAATAAGAGTGAGAAACCTAGACTGTTTCTGGGATATCGAGCCCCCACACTGGAACAATATTAGTGCAAGCCAGCTGAAAGAGATTTTTAAAAGTTTAAGACGTGTAGTGTGGAGCTGGCTCAGCATTGAGAGCACTGGCTGCTCTGGCAGATCCTGGGTTCGGTTCCAAGCACCCACATAGTGGCTAACAACCATCTGTAACTCCAGTTTCAGGGGATCTGACACCCTCTTCTGATCTCTGTTGGCATTGCACAACACCATGGACATTGTACAACACACATGCAGGCAATACACTCATACACATAAAAATAATAAAATATATTTTTAATTACTTAACAGAAGATCTTGTCTGAATGAAAAAGATAAACCATGGCTGCCAACAAGATGAGAAAGGTATTAGAATTACATAGCAAAGACTATCATAAAAATGTCAACAAGCAATTGTGAACATCTTTTAAAAAGTGGAAAAAAATAGCTATCGCAAAGAAATAGAAAATCTCACTAAAGATGAGATGAGGAAAAAACAAATGGAGATTTTTAGAACTGAAAAATGCAACAACTGACATAAAAAGTTCAACAGATTGGGTCACTATTAGAATGCAGGGAACAGAGAAAAGAACTGGTAGCCTTAAAAATAAAATTATGGGCATAATCCATTCTGAAAAGCAGGCAAATAATAATAATGAGCAAAAATTTGGGGACCTGTAGGGCAATTAGATCTAATATTTGTCTCATTAGAAATATGGAAGGAGAAGAAAAAAGAGATTGGGCAGAGAAAAGGACTGATAGATATAATGGCTGAAAATGCCTTAAGTTTGCAAAAGATGGGACCATACAAATTCAAGAACAAATGCAAATAAAATAAGACCACATCAAGCCACTTCATAATCAAACACACACATTGATGCCTTATTTCCAATGGAAGAACAATTTTAAAGGCAGCAAATTTTTCCTTAGAAACCATAGGTGGAGGTCAGAAAATTGTGGATCAATCTTTTCAATGTGTTTCCTTCATCCAGTAAAACATCCTTTAAAAATGAAAGGAGATGAAGACATTCTTACATGAAGAAAAACAGTTCAACAGATAGCTAAATGATGTTTTCTAAAAAGAGAGAAGCAATAAGAGGGTTCTTCAAGACACATTGGATGAAAGAAAGAATACTGTAGGCAAAATATGTATAAATACAAAGATTTCTCTTCTTGAGTATTCTAAATTATGTTTGATGGGTATTATCAACTGAATGTGCCCTCTGAAAATTTATAGACTAATATAGTGAATAACATCATAGGTAAAACAGAATTCTATAAAAACTGGGTAAATGAAAAAATTGGACAGAATTTTTAAAAAATCAGAATTACACTTTTTGTTGTAATATAGGTTTGGCATATCCAAAGACACAGTCTGTTTCAGACCCTGGGGCCACATTCACATAGATTAATTCATTATCTACACAACAGTCCCACAGAGTAAGACAACTTTGCCTGTTCCACTCTACATACGGGCACACTGAGAGTGTTCCTTACCACCTGTAAATTCCTTTCCCTGTTGAGGCAGTTCCCTAAAGCCCTTGGTTTCTTCACACTTTTTGTTGTTACTGTTTTATGAGGGCTATAGGGTTTGGTGTTTATCTCCTCTGCAGCAAGTTGTTTTCTCATCTCTCACTTCTTACCCTCAACCTCCAGAAGAACCACTATTACTGACAGGAAATAGTTGTATCTCTCAGTTGTGTTGAGGCAAAAGACAAATTGCAAACCACCTAGATCAAAAGGTCATTCTTGGAAGTGCTGTGTCATTGTACTTAACAGTACAATCTCTTATTTCCTGTGTAGAGTACCTATGTATAGTTTATCTGATTTGAACCTCAGAGTCAGATGAGAGAAACAAACAAACAAAAAACTGTTGTTCTTATTTACAGATGATGAAACAGAAGTCACATAAGATTATCTGCTGCGTTCAGTGTTAAAGGCTACAACCTAAGCCAGTTTTTCTCAAAAACCACAACTACTGTTTTTCAGCCCTGTTTCTCTTTGTTTATAAGAAAAACATTCAAAAATTATTTTTTAATCTTTTTAAAATTTCTGTTTTTTTAAATTTTATTATTGTATTTTGTGTGTACGAGTGTATTGCCTGCATGTATATAAGTGCACCTGTGTCATGCAATGCCCGTGGAGGTCAGAAGAGGGGGGTCAGATCCCCTGGAACTGGAGTTACAGACGGCTGTTAGCTGCCATGTGGGTACTGAGAACTGAACCTGGGTCCTGGGTCCTCTGAAAGAGCAACCAATGCTCTTAATCGCTGAGCCATCTCTCCAACCCCCTTTTTAAAAATATTTTAATGCTGAAGATGATGGAATCTTCTTTGATTGTCTTTAAAATTTTAGCCTTTCCATTTTCATCTTT